ATTCTCCCCTTTCTCTTCTTTCCTTCCGCCATACCTTATCACTTCCCATCGTTGCGTTCTCTCTCCCCCTGCACACATGCACCCGGTGCAGATTCACGCCCAGGTTCACTCGCCCTGTTTACTGTTGCCATCACCCGCCTGTCTTTTCTCGTTCACCACCTTCTCTTCGATGTTCCCCGACTCTCCTTCTYCGTCTTCACGCGTTCGTGATCGTCGCCCCGCCACATGTCCACGGAGCTCCGCCTAGCGCGTCTTACGACCGTACTGTTAGCGCCTGGCAAATCCCGCCCGCTACGAGGTGCACTCTGACAACGAGAATCGGTCGTCGGCTGACTCGCTTCTTCGTCCCTATATCTCAGCCCAGCGAATGAGAGCTACAGGGAAACCTCGGAGGGATACAGCTACTAGACGAGTTAACTAGTCTTTCGCCACTCGACTAACCGCCCAGGCACCGATGTAGTAGCAGCTTCCACTGCTCTGCCCCTAGCGCAACTTACATTTTTCTCCTTTCTATCAGGTAAATAACCGCTCTCGTGGTCGCCACCTCCAGTTGGACGGATAAGCCCTTCGACCCCACGACCCTTTTCTGCGGTCCAATTAGCCAAAGGAAACCTCTGACGGGTCCCGCAACTGGACGGCGCGACCTGTTTTTCGCCCCTGCATGCCGCGTCCGGATCCGGCCTCTTTTATGGCTGGGTTCAGGCATACGTAGCATACTATGTGCCTGTCACCCCTGCACCCCGGGCAATGCTAATCTTTTCTGTATCGCTCCAATTTTTACGGATGTCCCGAAGGACTCCTACCGGCCCCGTGGCTTCTCAGAGCCTGGGCAGCCCCACGCACCGCAGAATATCTTGGTTTTACTCATCAAGTTCCATCATTTGGGTTCGAGCAAGGGTCTGTATTTCAACAGTTCAGTGGTGTACCCACTGAGCCACGCTCTTGGGGTCCTAACAGCAGCCGTGGTACCACGTCCCAAAACGAAATGGGACCATTAAATAGAAAATAAAAATAAAATGGTTATATAAAAACCACCAACGGGAAACGGGAATCTGCCGGCACCCCGCCAGTCCCGTGGGCCGTGCCCGTTAACAAAACTGAGAGGGATAGCCCCATCGGGCCCTCAACCCCCCGGTTTCTTCCGCGCTGCTCCACTACTCCCTCGTCGTCGTATGCTGGCCTCGATTCTCAAACCTCTATAGCAATAGTCCAATGTCACAACCTATAGGGCTAAGCCCAAGCCTAGGACTGCCCTGCGCGAATTTCCACAAAAGATGATATGGCGCAACGCCCAGATCTTGGAAAACGGTCCGGGTTTTTATTCCTACCTATAACTGAGTGCGTTGCCGATGAACACCTGTGCAGGCTCGTTCGGACTGCGCCATGGTTGCCATGTATGCTATACAACATACCACCCCGATCGTTAATGGTAGATATGTCAAACTCAAAGCAAATTGTAATAACCAAAGATTCAGACCAAACCAACGAGAAGATCACACGTGCGCCTTAAGACTGCGCGCCCACGTACCCTCTATCTTAGCCAAAGTAAGTCACAGACGCGGTCGTGCCTCGCACAGCCTATCTTGATCCAAACTTACTTTCTGTCATTTGCAAAAACCAGGGCGGATACCCTTGTCAGGTTATTCGTGCTGACAACTTACCGGACTATATTAAGCGATGTCCCCGTCGCTTCGCAAGATCAAAAGAGCTATAAATTCATTCACATTTTAAATGCCTACGAGAAAGGAACCAATCCGATTAGCCGACAGACTTAGGGTTGAGGCCTCTAACAATCCAAACCCTTATAGCTATATGCCGCCAGGGTTCCAACCTGGGTCTCCATTGTCCTGACACTAGGACGCAGGTGTACTGGACATACGTACTACAGCATAAGTCTTAGCGCTCCTCTCGACCGTCCTCTCCCCTTTATCCTAGACAAGCGCCGACTTTTCGTTAAGTGTCCCTAGTCTCTACCCTGCGAGCAGGGCCATAACTAGGAACGCGGGCCCTAACCGAGACCTCTAGAAGGCGTTCTTGCATCCCTCCAATAATTCTCACAATCAAACATATATGATATATATAAATCTTATCTCAACATACCTCCTGCAGTTTAGTACAGGAAGGTTAGGTCCCCATCTTGGTCCACCATAGTCTGGGTGATCGTGCCAGATCTACGGTCCACCGCATTTGTTATTTCAACGGTAGTGCCCTCGTGGGTTGCGCCACGATAGGTTTTTTCTCCTGATAAGCATTCAATTAGGACTCTTAAAGACTCGACTCTTATCCCACGCCATCCCACGGCAGGTAAAACTCTCCTGGGTGGCCACACCCTTTCAAGTCTTTACCCCTTCTGGTGAGACGTGGGCCCGCTGTCAGGTTCCGCCGATCAGCAGCTAACACTAAGGGTTGCGCCTCAGCGATGCCAGTTATACCCCTAGCTGGGTCTCTCATAAATGCCTTGAGATTAGCACGAATGGCTGGATGGTGTGTTGCAACAATACAAGCCTACTTCGGGACTACGCAGTGGTCTGTCACACATGAAAGGCATTTTACCAGCCCTCTGTGGGACAACACAGAGAGAACACGGCAACCTCTTCATTGTCACAAAACAGAATCGCCGCCAGGTCTGCAAGGTCGTGACCCCCTCACTTGATCAGAGCAAGAAGACCACACATCCCGAAGACATCTCCCAATGAAGCTTTTTGCGATTTTCTTAAAAATTTCCGACAATGGCCAAACAAAAACATGGTTCTTCTCGTCAGACTTTATCATCCAAAACCAACTTACCATGCCATTAAATCCATTACCCACCTTTAATTATCAAAGGTGCCTCTCACATTAGGTCCCCCAGCCATCCTTTCCTTCTCTAGGATGAATTTTCATTTGACCTTTTTAACGCATCTCCCATCTGAAGATGAGTCTTCCAACAACCCAAATATCACCACCTTTCCATTCTTAAGGGGTCTTATCCACAAAACAACTCAACACTAAGGGACCTTTTTATGGGTCCTGGTCACAACTCAACAATAAAACTTACGGCATAAAATGCTGCAATTTTCATTGCAGCACGAGCAATGTTCTCTGGTACACCATCCATTTCATATAAAATTCGACCTGGTTTCACTACAGCAACCCAATATTCAGGAGAACCTTTTCCGGAACCCATTCGCGTTTCAAGTTTTTTTCAAATACTATTAAATTTAAGCTCAATTGGAATTGCATTGATTGGTATTATTATTGCTTATTCCATCTATGCATATAATAATATTAGCATAGATTTTGTGTTTTTCAAAAGATCCTTGAAGAAAATCTACCTCCTGTATAAGGAGGTACCCCTTCTCCCGAAGTTACGGGGCTATTTTGCCGAGTTCCTTAGAGAGAGTTGTCTCGCGCCCCTAGGTATTCTCTACCTACCTACCTGTGTCGGTTTGAGGTACAKGCACCCACTTATTATTAGTCTTTCGAGCTTTTCTTCGAAGCATGGCATGGATTACTTCAGTGCCGTAGCACCTAGTACTAGGATGTTAGCTCAGAGTGTTTTCTCCACTCCTTCTCACCTTGTATCCTTGAACCGATCACCATTTTTCGGCTAATCTAACCTTCTCCGTATCTAATTTATTCATAATAAAATAAGAATAAAATAAAAAGAGTGTTTTATCAAATACAAATAATATCTTATCTATTACTATTTATCTCCTAAGCCTGATTCCATTTACAGAAGTCGTTTAGTCAACATGATGGTTAACCGAATCTTAAGAAATGGAAAAAAATCCTGAGCATCTTTCACACAAAGTCATCATATATCAGGATAAAGTCACACATGTGAGAGTGATTGTGATCGTTATATACAAGAATAGTCTTAACATAGTACTCAACTCAAAAACACACTCGGGAAATGAATGCCCCGTAACTCCACTCAACCAGATAGCATTCATGTTCCAAGCGTATAAAATCTCAGATCATATTAAATTTATCCACACAAATCACAGCGTAACTGTATACTCATATATGTCATATAATTGACTGTTATCTCCTAAGTCACAACAAAAGAATCCCAAAAATATGTCAAGTACCCCTTGCTATATATATACAAATAGACAGATCACACATGATTGACTCCAAAAATGTACATCCTTAACTCAATCTCTATGTACAAAGAACTCTATCTCTACTGGCCTACAGGCAACCCAGTCCCTACTCACTCATCTCTTCCTGGTTTTGCCTATACAGTTGAGCCCTACCTCCATCGGCACATCGTTCTACTACTCTACCTTGCCTATCATACATTCTTCCGCCACTTTCCATGACCTTTCCTTCAGCCAGGTCCTTTAAAAACTTAGGACACTGCAAAACCCTATGTTCCCCATTTTTGCAGAAGAAACAGCTTGGGTCAAACAACTTTCTTCGCCTTTTCTTCTTCCGCTGAGACCCTGGTGATGATGGTGCCTCACTGGCCTCCCTGCCCAGTTCGTAACTCTGAGGTACGTCCATAGGTTCCTCATGCCCTATCTCCAACCCCTGAGCACTAGGCCCTGGTCGTGCCCCAACTCCCTCCGGCCTATACTCAGGCGTATCCAATCTCTGGGGCTTGCCCTCGATGACATCCTCCATCGCAACCCCGATCTCACTCTCAGGAGGCTCCTCTATCCTCTGCTCAGGTGATATTAAGTTTGCCTCCTCCAGCATAGTGTGAACCGTCTCGAGCAACACATCCATAGATCCTTCTGCTGAGCCCTGGACCGGCTCACTACTAGCCGCTGGCAGCCCCTCCTCAACTGATAGTGGCATGGTGGGGCCCGCTGCTATGTAGGCAGTATAGCGAGTTCAGTAAGAGCTTTGAACTCGAAGGTTTCTTTCGCTGCCTCCCTCTTGGCCTTTGCCTCCTCAGGCTCCAAGATGATTCTTCCCATGGACGATCCCTGCTGAGGTTCAGCTGTGGATGGCTGCCCTGATAAGCCCTGGGCGGTCTCTGCTCTCCCTGTCGGCTGCTCTCTGCCCTATCCATTCCACCTTGAAGCCGCTGTCTTAGGTCCTGAATGATGGCAGCCTGACTAGCCACCAATGTTCTGAGCTCGCGGACCTCAGCCTCTAGGGCTTCCAACTGCACTCTATGGCTTATCCCCTTCATCCCTTTTCCCCTCAGATCAGCTTTCAACATCATATATCTCTCGAATGATGTCTGGGAGAGGAGGCGGATCTTTCGGTCCAAATACTCATCTGCTTTCCTCGAGGTCCCAACTTCTGCCTTTTCTGGAACCGTCAGTTCCTGGCCATGCTGATCAAGGAACTCATCCCACATCTCCTTGATTCCATATGGCTTATGCGGTGGTGGCTGATCCGGGAGTGCTCCTGCCCTTTCCAACCTTTGTCTCTCTTGCGAGATTTCCTCCAAGCGTCTTCCCACTCTGGCTCACTTTCCCTCAGCCGTCTCCCCCGCTGACACTCTCTCTCTCGTGCGGCGGTCGACTCTCCTTGGGATCTCTGCTCCCATCTCTCTCTCAGCCTGATGCAGCTCCTGGGGTGGCTCCACAGGTACGGGCTCTTCCAGGTCAGGGTGCTTCAAGGCGTGTGCCGCAAGATGCCTGTCAATCATGGCAAGGACCTCTCTCTTCCGCTCAGCTCTCTCTCTCTCCCCTTCTATCCTTCCTCCTGGCGAAGGGACCATCTCTGGCGGCGGTAGTGGGATTTCCTCTTGTTGTGATCCCTCCTCTCTGCCTGGTGCGCTCTCTGGGGGGCTCCCAAGTCTTAGTCCCACAGCTGGCGCCTGAGGGGGAGTATCCTCCTCAACCTCTATTACCTCCTCTTCAGCACGCCCTCTCTCAGTATTCGGCCTCCTTTCTCGCTCAGGTCCCGGGGCCTCCTCTCTGGGTGCCTCCTCTGTCGGCTCGTCACGTCCCTCGCTCGTCGACCGTACTCTCCACTGCGAGACATCCAGATGTGCCTCCAACTCCTGCAGTGGCTCTCCGGATGCTGGTTTCTCCTCTCGTGTATGTGGTGGAGGTTTTCCCAGTCCATCCTCAGTAAAGCGATGGAACTCCACTGGCCCCAATCCGCACTCAGGAGATGCCCCTCGCCCCTCAGTCTCAGGCACCGTCCCCTCTTCTCGCCTGGCGAGGGCCTTCCGTCCCCCTCGAGATAGCCTGGCCTCACTAGGCTCAGGGTCCCTCTGCCTCCTGCTCCTCTGACATCTCTCTACTCTGGGCTGAGGAGGCTCTGACTGTCGAAATGCTTCTCTCAAGTGCGCCCTGCAGCTTTCCCAATCTCAGGTCATATCCCTGATCTGCCTGGCCAACGGCCTCTCCGCTTTTCTGGTCCACAGGGGTAACGTTATCGCCCACTCATCCCTCAATATACCCTGGTCATGCATGAACTGCTCGTAGGCGGGAATGAACTCCTCTGCATTTCCAATCTCCAGGCGGATTGGTCGGCCATCAGGTCATACAGGTGATGGCCGTAGCTCCTACATCCTCGTCTCCACCTCTGGCCTCGTCGTCGCCTCCCTATGAATTTGTGCAATGGGCTCCGCGAACCTGCCGGCCCCTCTCAGCCTCTCGATCGCCTGGGTCATAGTCCAGCCCATATGGTCTGCATACCCCCAGAATTCGTCAATTTGAAATATGTATTTACTTATTGTAGTCTTACCTCTACTCGGTAGTTTAGTAGCAGACGTGTTTGGTCGCTTTCTTGGTTCACGAGGGGCTGCCTTGGTAACAACCACTTGTGTTTCAATTTCTTCAGGTCTGTGTTTCATAGCTTTTTATGAGGTTGCACTGGGAGCCAGTGCTTGTTATATCAAATTCGCACCATGGATTTTGTCAGAAATGTTTGATGCTTCTTGGGTTTTTCTGTTTAATACTCGAAGACGTCAGTCATGCTATTTCACTCAAGGATTTAGTAGGTTGGGTAGCCTTTGCAATATTTTTTTCCATTTTTGTTTTTTATGCACCTAACGTATTGGGACATCCTGACAATTACATACCTGCAAATCCTACGTCAACTCCAGCTCACATAGTGCCAGAATGGTATTTTTTACCTATTTATGCAATTCTTCGATCGAGCAATTCCTCAAAAGACAGATTGACCTCCAGATCCTGACGCCTCTAAGTCTTCAGGAAGCTTTCGATCGGGAAGGTAGCGTGCCTCCCATACCATAGTGTGGCCGGTGCGTATTTAGTGGTCCTCTTCAGCATAATATTCTCGACAAAGAATGTTGCCCTCAGGTACCTTGGCCACTGATTAGGCCTACCCTCAGTCCACTTTGCCAGAAGGCTCATAATGGTGTTGTGTCCCCTCTCCACTGGAGCGTTTGCCTGGGGGTGCGCGGTCGTGGTGTAATTGGCTATCACGCCGTACCTTGACAACAACTTCTGTACCTCCTGGCAGGTAAGCTCCGATCCTCTATCCATTACGAACTCTTTGACAAAGGGATATCGCAGGTAATACTCCTTGATACAACTAACCAAGACTGACCCGGTCTTTGTACGAATGTTCCGCCCATCTACAAAGCCAGACAGATTATCACGTGCATCGAAGATGTAATTGTATCTATGATCTCCGAGCGGCATGAAGAATAGGTCGAGATGTACCACTGCCCCTACTTCTCTTTCCAGTCTTGGATGCAACGGCTCTCCTGGCCTCAGACGAGATCGTTCTTGGCAGGGTACGCAAGACCGACAGAACTTACTAACCATTTTCATCATCTCATCCCAATAATATAGCTCACTTATCTTGGCATATGTGGCACTAACTCCTCGGTGCCCTCCTGCGATGTCATTATGAAGCGCAACTATAATGTCAATCTGACGGTTCTTGCCTCATACAACCCTCCTAGGATTTCTCACTTGCCTCTTTACGAAGAGATGACCATCCCTTACCAAATAGCGTTGCATCATCCTTTGGGCTCTATCACTGGCATCTCTATTCCGCATTTCGCAGGATAGAAGAAGTCCCAGTTCCAGGTAGATACCATTGTACTCCTCTGCACGGAATGCCTCTTTGATCTCTCTCCCTCCTCAAACTCGTCATCCTAGCTTTCCGGCACCACCTCCTCATTCTCAGTCGGGTTCAACAAGCCTATCTGATCAAAGTTTCCTTGTAGAAGCGTATTAACGAGAAGATACATTCCCCCTATCAACTCCTCGTGCTTCTCTACCCGGTCTGGTCCTTCCTCTATCGTTCTCACTTTTTCTACTAGACTATGTGTGTCCGCCATGGACATCTCTGCTGCCCCATGGATCTTCCTCTTCGAAAGGCTTGAGTACCAGCTCTGCCTTCCGTTCATACCCGTTTGGCGCACACCAGATAGGATGACCAACGCAGCTAGGCACCCGCGGGGACAATTTATTGATGTGAAGACGGATATCCTCTTCCTGATCCAGGAATCCATCAACTGAGGGCGTGTTCTCTACTGCCTCCCCCTCTTGCTTGTCCCAGTTGATACGGCTCAGCCCGTCCACCCTGTTCTTATTCTCAGGGATCCGCCCCAACTCAAAATTAACATCCAGATGTACGTCAACCATCTGGCAACAGCCGGATCCAATTGAACGTAATTCCTTAGAGAATAGGCCAGAGCAGCCGGTTTTACTCTCAATATGAACCTTCTGCCAAAGATATAGTTTCGAAAGGTTCGCAAACAGTTGAGGACGGCAAGAGTCTCCCTCTTGAACAAAGAGTAATTTCTCTCAGTCGTACAGAGAGTTCGGCTCTCAAATTGCAGCACCCTCTCTTTCCCTTCTGCATCTGCTTGGATCAAAACTCCCCCTAAGGCAGTTGGCCCAGCATCCGTTTCAACAATGAATGACCTTGTCTCTGTGGCATCATAGTCCGGCGCTCCCAATACCAACCCTCCTTCTCTGAACTCTTCTGTCATTTCTGCCACCACTCTCTCCTGCTCTTCACCCCAGACCCACTCTTGATCCTGACGAACCAGTTTTCTCAGGTGCTCAGTCTTCGCGGCGAAATTTTTGACGAACGCCCTCCAAAACCCACATGTGCCAAGGAAGCTTCTAACAACAGTTATTGAGCGGAATGGTACTGGCCACTCAATAATCTTGTTCGTCTTCTTTACGTCCGGCCGACGACCTTTTTGACTACAGACGAACCCTACAATAGTAGCTTCCCTCATGCAGTGTCTGGATTTGGCCCCACTCGCAATGAGATTATACTCTTCAAGTAGGTTCAAGACTTTCTCAAGGTCCTGAATATGCCACCAGACAAAGTGTCTCACTCCTGGCAGGACTTCGTCGTTCTCCTTCACCATTGGCCCTTTTACCGCCAAGTCATCAATATATAGCTGTGTGATGTGCGGGCTGACTGATTGCATAGCTCGAATCATAGCACGCTGAACCATCGCTACTGCGTTGGTCCACCCTTGTGGAGCCACATTCATATGGATCAGCCCTCGAGGCATATGCATTGTCGTCACTGGCCTGTCTGGCGGGTAGACCGGAAATTGGTCATATCCGGAGTAAAGGTTTATAAGTGAATATATAGGCCTTCCATCACAGGACTCTGACAGTGCATCAACATTTGGCAATCCTCTCACATCTCGCACAGTCACCGCATTCAGCCGCTGCAGATCTTGCACCCATCGTAGCGTCCCATTGGATTTGATGAAACAGAACCATGGGGATGCGTACGGCCCACTTGAGTAGTTGGCGACATGCGTACGTATCTTTTCGTCAGGATAATCCACCACTTTTTTCTCTTTGTCAGGATTCGGATATTGCGCCCCTCTCAAGTTCCAAGGCTCGTGTGGCACGGTATGGATGCGGATGATAGGAATTTTGTCCACGTCCAACCTGTCGCACTCCTCGTCACTAAACACATAGGCGCAATGCCTCTTCTTCATTAGCTCTATCATTAATGCTCTTTCCCGGGGCAGCAAGAAGTTAGACTCTCCGATTATCAATTTCTCTTCGTTCCCTTCGTTGATACGGCACGACCCAGCTGACGCGCTCTCCTTCATCCGCCGTATGAACTCTCGCTCCCGTTCGTAGTACACTTCCTCATTTTCGGTAACGAGGACGGGAACTGGGCGGTACTTTTCTATCGTCTTGTACCGCCTTTGGAAACCCTGCTTGAGCCGTCCCCTAAAAAAAACCGGCTTACATCTGGTGCTTGCATCGATGTCGGGTTCCTCCTCCCTTCTGGAAGTCCATACACCAGTTCCAACTCCCCAGCCTGGGGGCATTCCAGAACTTGCTCTCTCAGTGCCTGGATGGCGTCTGGATCCGCCATCTCATGCGTGACCACTATGCCAATGGCCTTATTTACGTCCGACGGACTGATGGAAAATGCCTCGATTCTTTCTTCCTCTTTTGGCTCCGCAAGGAGTCTCCGGCGCTCGCGTTCTGACTCCTCAATCGTGAATGAGCCCGGATTGGGCTGGTTTCTTATGCTCCGAGGCGCTGTATTCCTGCAGGTAATCATCTCATAATTTCCGCAGGCAAGGTCACACATAATAAGGATCAGAGTCTCATCGTGTTTGTTGAACATCAATGTCTCTGTCCTGCATAAGGACCTTCCCAAGAGAATCCCGTGATTCACGTCCGGCATAACGAAGAAGCATGTCCTGGCCTTTACTCTTCCAACCTCGATAAGTACATTCGAGGTTGTCCCACAAAACACTACTTTGCAGTTGGCGCCATTTAGGATATTGCAATCCGAGCGGTCTATCTCTAACCCGAAACTGACCGCGTCAGCCTCCCGGATAATGTTCATTTCAGCTCCCGTATCCACCATGGTTGAGCACATGGAGCCTTTTACCACCAAATCCACTGTGCCACAAGCTACGCACTTCCAGTTCATCTTCGTCCCCGTTTCCGCCCACTCAGCTTCCTTAAGCAGGATCATACTTAGATGGACGCTGGGCACCAAGCGTCGCGACAATCTCCCTTTCAGCCCGTCACGAAGCTTAGGTGCCGACGCCAAAATCTCCTTTAGGGTCATAAGGTCGTTGTGACCCTCCAATAATCTATCAATCACCCTCTCCACATCGAACCCTTCTTCCAACCGAACCGCATACTTCTTCTTCTTGAGCGGCACATCGCTCAGGATTGGCTCTTCCCTGCCCTCTCTCTTTCTAGCCCTCTGTTCCGCCCTCTGATCTTCCTCTTGGCGCAACCTTTTATCATTTTTTTTCTCCTCGTCATCATCCTCCACTTCTACTGCTTCCTTTCCCTTCTCTGGTTCAGGTTCTTTTCGAGGAGGCTCTTGGCTTGCACCGGCTTTAGCCTGACCTCGACTACGAGCCGCCTGCGCCGGCCTTCCCTGCGGCGTAGGGGGTCTGGTCATCATCCCTGACCGCGGGCCTGATCCCACGGTGGTCACCCCGAGTTGTCCTGGCATGGATTCTGGGCCGGATTCATAGAGGAAGACCTTAGGGATGCTGACCCTCCATTCCTTCACTCCTTCATAGAGGTCCACCAACTTCTGTTGGTATCTTCCCACCTTGTCCAATAGGTCCTCCGTCTTCCTCAGCAAGACTAATGGGGGTTCTACTTTCTCCTCTTCACTCTCTTCCTCTGACTCAACGACTATGGGTTCTTCCTTTATATCCTCTGCCTGCAGCCTTTGGGTCACCTCCTCATCACTTCCCACCTCTTCCACTCTAATTGGTGGGTCCTCTTTCTCCTGCCACAACCTGAACGCGGCAGGTGGCGCTTGCCATGCGGCTACTCTTCTTTGGGCCTCCGCTCTCACTCTGCCAGGGACCTTCCTATCAATGTACTCCCCGAACTGATCATATATGTCATCATCCATATTTGAGTAAATCAGTCTCACTCTTTCGTCTTCCCACTTTGTATTGCAGAACCGTCTGGTGTGACCTTGCTTGTCACAATGTTGGCATATGGCATCAAAACGGGTCCTTCCGCTCCCCTGGTTCCCTTGGTTACCTTGGTTACCTTGGTTTCTCTGGCCCTGGTAACCTTGGTTATCCCATTGACCTCCTCGACCACCACCATATCTGTCGCGTCCTCTTCCACCGCCTCTCCGTCCATTCCCTTGGTTTCCCTGGCCTTGATTACCTCCACTTGCCACGCTACCTTGTGAGTTAGGCGCGGGCGACAGAGGCGGCGCCACGGGTTGGGCCTGAGCGACGGGGTAGCTTGGAGGCGGCATATTTACTTGGGGCCCAGCGTATGGTACTACTTGCTCTGACGGGTCCGGACTTCCCAATGGTACGGCCACTGCCCGTATGGTGGAACCGGCACTTGCGAGGGTCCCGCACTACTTGACGGAGCCGACGCACTCGCTGGCGCGGCTACCACTGACATTGTCTGAGGCATTTGCCCTTTTCCTGCACCTTGCCCCCCCTGAGCTAGGTCGCGCTGTTTGCGTAGCGCTTTCGAGAGGTGTTGAGGCACAGACTCTTCTTCTTCCCACTCTTCTTGAGCATCTTCCTCTACCACTGGTATTTTTCCCTTACCTTGGACCACCGTCACTACCTTTTTCTGTATTGCCTCATCTTTCCCATAACCCAATTGCGCCAGCACGTCAGTTACAATCCTCCTTACTCCTGGGGTCCCGGACGCTGAAAAAAAAAAGAATTGAAAATCCCTATATAAGAACTCCAAGACAGGATAAAAGAAAAGACGGAGTTACTCACGTAAGGAGTGGCAAGCCACGTCCCTGAAATTATGAAAGAGATTCAGAGATTAAAGGCGAGGGAAGATAAAAGGGACTTGCAGTTGACAAAGATGGAGAGGAAAGTGGAAAGTTTGAAAGATGAGGTAGGGAAGGCAAAAATTAAACAAGGGAAGTTGGAGTTAAAAGTAGAGGCATTAAGCATTGCTCTTAACGACAAGAGCGAGGTGGGGACAGAGAAAATGGAAAGAGAAAGGTTGGAAAAAAAGGTTGGTAAATTAGAGGTAAAAATAAGTGAGCAGGGTAAAACAATTGAGTCTGAAAAGAACGAGAGAAAACGGGAGAGTAAGAAATAGGAAAAGAGATGGAAAAAGGTGGAAGAGGCACTGAAAAGATCCAAAGTGAATATACAGGCAAGGGACGAAACGGGAGACATTTAGGAGGCTGAGAATGAAAAGGAAAATCCGAAAGGAAGGGAAAAATGATTAGTGAGACTTGACGATAGAAAAGATGAAAAGGCAGTGGTTGGAGTCCTTACCCTGTCCAGTGGAAATGCTGAAGAAGTAGGGGAAACCCCGCTGGCAAGGAGCGGGGCAAAAAATGGTAGGAAAATATCATATCTTGAAATATTAACTCCAAAGAAAGAAGAGGGAGAAATCGGGACGACATCTCATAACCTTCCACCACCTGCGAAAAAGACAAAGGAGGAGGAGAGGAAATCATGTTATGAATTTAAGATAGATAGGGTTAAGGGATTAGATGACCTTGATGAGAACAACAGACTCATCGATATAAGAGGGAACTTGATTAAGAGAACCAAGGAGGGGTTTAGGGTCCAATTATATGAACAGTTGGGGCTCACCTTATAAAATTAAGATAAAACATTCTTGAGACCTCTCTTAAGCATCTGAGATAGGATTCTTACGTTTTTTTTTTCTCCGAATAAAATATTTTATTAGTGATTGAGGGTAGAGAAAGAAGTGTGGTAAGTGTGTTATTTACTCTTTTTATATATAACATTTAGGGAGGGGGTTTTGATCAGTCATAGAGTGTGTGCTCCATTATTCTTGCTCATTAGATTTATAAGATTTTGTTGTGTCTCTTATATTTTGTGACTCGGCATTTGTACTCTAGTGGTAGAGTATATGTGAGACGAGTGACTCATTTTTGTCATGAGACTCCATGCTTCAGTTTGAGTGATGAGATATTTTGGTTTTATATTTAATATTCAGCTAAGTTTTCTTTATCCTAAGTTCATGTATGAGGTATACCTATGGTGAACATGAACACTTTCACTTTCACAATTGAGGTGGTCCGGTGTTTGGTTTTGATTGATGTATCTTGGATATGTATGTCAACAATGTTGTCAAGTCTTGAACTAAGATGCTCAGAAATGCGCCTAAGTGTTCAAGAATGATAGGATGAAATGTGGCTTGTCCGATCTAAAAATGCTTTGCCTTGCTGTCAATCTTTTCACATTTTGTCTTATATATATATATATATATATATATATATGTATATATATATATATATAGGGTTACTGTTCGAGCGTTCGGGGTCCCGTTCAGGGGCCGAACACCTCCAGTTTCGGCCCCCGCCAAATTTTGTTTTGGGGCCTAAAAATAAGTTTTTTTTTGATGAATTGTTTTTTTTGAGTTCTCTATGATGTACCCTACGCGCCTATAAATTTTAAAGTCATTTTGCTAAGCCAAAAAAACATTAAAAATCGTCAAATATGGGGGTGTCAAAACGTGTTCCCCCACTCACTATTTTGTTTTTTTTCACTTTTAACTTTTCGTTTTCACTTTATTTCGGGGCCTAAAAAATTTCATTATTTTTTGAAAAAACATTAATGAGTTATTGATTATGTCAACTACATATTTGTAAATTTTCAGGGTATTTGTCAATGCCAAAAACTAATTGAAAATCAGCGAAGATGGCGATGTCGAAAAGGTGCAAGCACACTCACTCATTTTAATTCTCTTTTTATTTTTTTCTATTTTTATCCAATGTACCATCGTGTTCGGGTTCGGTGACCAAGCCCGAACGTTCGGGACCGGACGCGAACGAGCGCCGAAACTCTCTGAACGCGAACATAAAAATATTAAAAAAAAAAAAAAAAAAAGGTTCTCCAAAAAATCTGAAAAGTTATATATGTTATGTAAAATAATAATACAAGCAACTTTTGCTTTGGAGGTATGGTCAAATTC